CAGCAGAGGAAAACTGAGAAGCGAAGGGCTCAAAATGATCCTGTGTAATTGCCACTGGAAATTTGGCTTTTGGCCATACTGGAAGTTCAAAATAAAGTCAATATCCACAAGAAAAAAGAATCCATTAGGCTTGAATATGAGGAAAGAGCATGGAAACATCAGAGGACTGGAATATCCCTAAAATGGCTATTTTTCCAATTATGTGAGGAAAATTAAAAAAAACAGAAACAAAACCACAAAATCAAACAAAACCAACAACCACCAAAAAAAAAAAACCAAAGCAAAAAACAACACCCTCAACCAAAACAGAAAATAACAACCCCAAAGAAACAACAAAACAAACAAAAAACCAAACCCACACAACTTTTCTCTATGAATTTACTTTTAGACTACCAGAGCAGGGTTTTCAGACAAATGGCACAGGTATGGAAAACTGGTAGTTTCAAGATTGTAATTTCTTTCTGTTGCTTTTTAAAAGAGAAAATAATCAAATGGCTGGGAGAAAGAAAAAAAAAAAAAAAGGCCTCCAAAGATATAAGGAAAGAAAGAGAAAAGATACGGAAATGTGCAGTGTCCTCATGGCTTTATATCTGTAACAGTTCAAAAACACAGACGCTGCCACCTGAGTGTGTTGAAAAGGGGAAATCTGAGGTAACTGGTTACTCACACTTTTGAAAATTCACATCTTGAGTTCTTATATATAAGGGAAAGGCAGAGTAGAGATCAATATGGATGTTACTAGAATAATCACAATTTTTAGTACATTGTATTAGTGCTTGTTAGAAAAGATGATGACTGGAAACAGACAAAAAATCCTACATAAATTTACTGGGATATTTTTTACTCTGTCCATTTTGCAACGCTAATTTTTAAGCCTTTTTTTTTTTTCTGGAAGACCAACCTTGTAATTGGTAAGAATAAGAATGGGAAATTATTTTCTTAGTGATCAAAGTTCATATCAGTTTAGACTTCAATAAGAAATTCATTCACTTTACTAAAATTACTCCTTTATACATTAAATTCAAGTTTTCTTATTGGCAGTGAAGAGGGCACCTACACTGAAAAACTGTAAAAGATACACCAGTTCCATGAATTGATTTACATCTGTGGGTACAGAAGAGTTTCACTGCTTTTTAAAGGCTGGGAGAAATATCACAGGCAGAGAGAGCACACAGTGCAGTGCACATCGTTGTTCTGTGGGAGAAAGGAAAATTCTGCACATTTGGGAATAGTGCTTTGACAATACAAATACAAAAAATGCATGCCCTGACCACAGCTCAGCTTGCGTGAATGTGTATATTTACATTTTACCCAGCTTAAAGTTACTCACTTGCTTTTACAGTACAATCCATTAGAAGTAACAACTTTGTTTAAACTGAAAATGAGTCAAGTTGAACAGCTCTCAAACTCACCATCCTTTCTGAAATAATTTTCAAGAGGTAAGTGACCTTGACCTATATTTTTAATATAAATATACAAATGCAAGGACATGATTTTTAATGATCGTACTAGTATCTTACATATATTCATTACACAAAGACATTCTTGCATTGCTCTTTATGTCACAGCTTTGAAATAGAAATGCTAGTATGAAGTAATTGGCCCAAAGCAACAAAAGCAGGTCTAAGTACCTTTTTTCTGTAAGATTTTCCCCATATATTTTCTTTCTTATTGTTATGATCTTTCCTTTTCTCTTCTATCCTTCACCAGAGCTGAAGACCATTTAAAACCAATTGATCACCACTGTCACTTCTCTGACTGCTTTCTCTTTCACCTTGGTTGCAAGATGCACTGCTAAGGCAGAACCTGGTGTAACTATGAGCCTAAACTAAATGTGCTAGAAAAACTTGCATATGCTTTTATTGTCAGGCTAAACTTCACAGACCACAAAGTACTGCTTACAGTCATAGACTGCATCTGCACCCAGAAAAAAAAAGAAAAAAAAAAAAAGTCCAGAGTAAATCAAGAGCAAATTGAGAATATAACTTCAAATTTCTGCCTCTCTGTATTATGCATCATTATCATCATCAAAATAAAGAAGTTCAACAGTTCTTTGAAACACAGTAAATTATTAGAATTTTTTTAATTTTTCAATCAAGGATCACCTGACAAAAATCAGTTTCTGAACATAAAGAACACATTGGGAATAGTTGTCAATCAAAAAAACCTTAAGATTTGCCCTTTCAAGACTCTCTCTTCATTTCTGACACTCTTCCCCTGCTCAGTCCTGAAAAACAATCCTACCTTTCAGCAATTACCTGTGTCTTTATCCATCATGATCCACTTACAGATACGATGGAAGATGCCATTGAGATCCCTCCCTATGTAGATTAAATGCTCACTACTTTAAGACCCTGTGGCTGTTTGTAGGCTCAGTAGGTGTCCAGCTATTTGCGCTCACACAGTGCCTCAGCAATTAAATGCTTACAAGAATGTACTTTTAAGTTTCTGAGCTCAAGCTCCCGATCAGAACAGCACCAAACAGCACAGATTTRCAACCAATTTCCCTACACAATGGGGAGAAACCCCAGCCTTACAGAAATTCTCAGCGATTCCAAAGGGGAGGGATTTCCCYTTTAAGCAATTTACATTAACTCTCAGTCCAGGTTTATACACTACACAAAACACGAACAACATCTCATCTTTTACAGCATCAAGTCTAACAATAATTACCATTGACAAAATTACTTTAAATCTTTGGGGTACTTTTATCTAAATTGGGAATTAAAAAAAAAAAAAACCAATTCAATGTCTCATTTCCTATACTGCAATGGTTTTAAAAAACCATGCTCAAATAGGGGTACTTTGTGATCTTAACAGCCTTTTTTACTAAAATTGTTAAATCTTCTACATAAAAGTGCAATATTAAACAATGCAGAGAGGAACAAAAAAAAATACCAAAAAAATAGCTGGGTGGAAACATYCTGCCAAAGGCTTCAAAAGGCCTCTTATCTAGTTAATTTTACTAYTAGAGTCAAGATTACACTTGCTTAAAGAAAATAATGAAAAATTTGTTTACGGATGTTAACCAGAATGATATGATCTCATCAAAATTTGACTAAGCCAGAAATAATGAACTTATAAAAGAGGCCAGATCCCACCCTCCTGGTTCATGAGTGAGTTTGATGCAGTAGAAATTAATCCTTAATTTTAATTTTATCAGCTGAGAAAGATYTATCTCACTGAAGTACTGCACTCAGGAGTTTAAGGTAAGAAAGATTTGGCCCAAATACTATCAATAATGCAAGATACAATCTACTCTACAGAGGCAAAGCAAAGCTTTATTGATAAAAGCAGTTTCATGCAAATATTCRGCTATAAATTACTTCTAACGCTCTGGTACTGCAATGTTCAGACATCTATTTAGAAATACTATGTTGTTCTTTTTGGCTGATTATCAGATATCTTATCWGATAAAGCTTTGTTCATATGAATCTAATCATTCAGGTTTATGCTAAGTGCTTTCCTGTCTGAGCTTCTTGCAAAGCAGCKTCAAACTGTTTCATTTTCTGAACAAACTGAGTGCTTCCAAACTAGTTATGCTAGAAGAGGAAGAAAGYAATCATCAGGAACTTAGAATACCTTTGGTCTTCAAAGTCCTCAGAGGATTTATAATGCAGAATTTAACTGTCCCTCTCCCTGCTTTGAAGTGAATCATTTTTAGTAAAGGAACTTAGSCCCAAGTTTCTTCAGAGCTACTGCCGTATGCTCTTCTGTATAATACAGAAATTATAACAGCYTAAAACATTACCAAACAATGGTAGKCWGAAGACCTCTGTCTAARAAAAATAAAATTATAATTAAGGAAGATTTTTTTGCAAATATTAATATGATGTCTTTCTATTTACAGGTCATAAATCTATAACTGCTATTTTMTTCAAGTACTAGCGTACAGTACTACTATACTCTACTTCCACTAGAGTGGAAGATGAAAAAGTTGAGGGAAAAAAGTCCTTGGGAAAAAGACTTAGATGTGAAAAATTGAAAAATTTCTTCTTTCATAATTTTAATTACTATTGATCTTTTTACAGTTATTCACTATACTCATTTTAAAGGTAGTTTAAGAGAAGATCTTTAATACTGAATAGGCTGCTTTCATTTCAGTGGCACTTCTTAGAAAGAATAAAAGGGAAATTACCTAAGTGAGGAGCATTTTTTCATTCTAAAATAATCGTAATTAATAAATTCTGAGACACTTCCAAAATTTCCAGAAAAAAACCCAAACTTCCACCTATATTAAACACCTGGAGTCTCTTAAGCCTCAGACACCCTACATATGGGTGTGCTCTTTATATTTAAACTCTCACTATTAAAGTACATGAAARCAGCGCAGTTTATGAAGCCATAAATACGGTTCAGTTCACCCAAAGCACACATCCACGTGTAACTCTATATACAGCTGASCAGGGACTCAATCTCCTTTGATTGCAAATGGGGGCCAAGAAAACCAGCTCATGTGGAATCACACAAAAAGACATAATTTTAGGTATTGGTGTTGAATACTATCCTTGATCTCAAAGCAGTCAAAGCTTTTGTTTCTGTTTTCCTTACTGTAACGCAAAGTAAATATCAAAATGAAAATGGAGATACCAGTTACATTTAGTGACACATCATCAAAATCAACAAGATATTCCACAAGAAAATTGTAACTAARTAACAGTTTTTATCTTAAGAAACAAACTTTTCAAACTTTTCACTGGGGAAAAAACAAAAACAACAGACCTACTCCAAGCCACAGAAGACAGAAAAATAACTAATAAATTTCCTTTCTTTTCCGCCTTTAAGGCAACAATACCAATGCATATAAAACCAATCTTGTTAAGAGAGTATACATGCACTTCAGAGATAAATCCTCATGAACAGGTGCTCCATAATAAATAATGTCAAAGTTCATTGAAAAGTYAGGAGAAAAATGTTAACTATTGGAGGAAGGACCTCAACAGCAGAGAGCCATTAAAATAAGAGAACTATTAATTCTAAATAGAAAGTTGTTTTCCTACCTGTGTGCAGACAAATTACTGAGGTACAAGGAGTATTTTTCTTCAGCAGACAACCCATCCATCATCAAGTAAAAAACATGAAAATTACTCTGGTTGAGAGGCTGGGCAATGACACGAGACTTCTCCAACATGTATGTATAAATCCTAGCTGATTAAGAAACAAACACATAAATTCATCATTATACTGATTGTTCTAAACTTAAATATCTTAAACCATTYACCATTGCTGAAGTTAAGAATAAACAATGTTTCTTACAAAATGATCTGAGGGGAGCATATAAAATGCCGCATTACCRTTCATACTCCCATAGTTTTCTATATAAATCATATATAAAGCCGTAATTCCATTAGAATTGCTGGAACGAACATATTGCCATACTTACTGCTTTATATTACYATTAAAACTGCTGAGTTTTAAAGATAATGATGTTGGATTTGTACCAGCTGCTGTATTTGGCAAGATTTTCTAAGAGATAAACTAAGAATCATCTCACCAAAGTGCAGCCATCTGAGCACTGCATCTATTCCAGCCTCCTGCTTAACACAAAGACTGAAGAGAGATGTTAGACTCCTGATAAAAACACTCTTGGAAGCATTTCTTCTTTCTCTGCTGGTAACCAAGAGCACAGAGATTAACAATTTAGATTAAGCACCTAGTTTCTAGATGGCTACAAAGAGACAAATCCTCTGCAGAACCGGTTACCAAAAAGCTCCCTAACCYGAGCCTGGGRAAAYAYGGGCATCTCAGAAGGGCTATGATGAGCTGGATAAATGAGAAGCCATGAATCAGCAGTCWGGGAAGAAGGTGAAGGAGGGTGAATTGGAGTGCCTACAGAAATGCAGTTTACAGGATCCTACATAACCTCAGGCCCACTAAAATTCTGAAAGAGGCAAAGCACAGAAAACAAAGAAAATATTGAGCCCTCAGATCCATTCACAAGGTAACAGGCATTTTAGAGATATCTGTGAAGAGACATAGGAATGTTCACTGTTTTGGGCAGGCTACTCTTCTGCTCTGCCCTGGGAGTRCATCACCATGTGGTTTGAGGTGCAAGAGACTAAGGGAGAACATGGGAATGTCCAACTGCAGCCAGAGGTCAGGGCCTTTCCAGCAAGTGGGAACCTGTTCTCAGTTCCCACTTACCCAGCTACTGGCGTATTTTATCTCATCATGATTAAATACCAACTCTGGTGCAAAGACCAGAAGAGTGTCTCTTCACACTCTACTGAGCATCTCCACCACATGGACACAAGTCCATTTTGCTGCAGCTTTAGGCTTTTCAGTATCTGCAATATGGCAGTGTTTTCAGAGTCTCTGTGAGCATCCTCACCCTGGAAAGGACTGTTGAGTTTACAGCATAAGACTCACCTCTCAGAAATGGAGGAGCTATATTTCTGAAACCCTGGAAGCAGATGAGAATACTAAACCATAGCATCCCATAGCCTGGCTTTCAACCAACTCATCCAGGACGCCTTCCTTTATGAACTGCAAGCAGTTCTTGAACACACAGTGCTTGTAACATTGGTTCATGCATCCTGAACACAGCAGTATGTGCTCTAAATGCATACCACTTACATCTTTTTAGAAATTTTCTTTTACATTTTTAAGCTGTTTGGAATGAAAGCATTATTTTCAGACCCAGTTTTGGACTCACAGGTGTCACCCAATGCAAAGTTAAGCAGTTTGAGAATGTGTATCAGAGGCACTACATAAATAGTTCCACAGGCCTAATGACCAGGCCAGCAGGCTGAATATTCTGTTCCTGTCACCAAACAGGTGCTAATGTCCACAACAGCTCGTTCAGTGCTAGGCTGGGTATTGCTATATCATCTGCATTTGTCTGGTAATTTTATTTTAAATTCCACCTATCTATCTTCCCATCTTTTGAAGGCCTGTAAGTTTCTGTCTATAGTGTTGAATTAAACACAGCAAACTTGAGGTTACTTGAAATTGTGTGTCTGAGGAAACATAGCTTTTGAGAATACTGCTGAAAGACAGTGTAAACTGGAGAGAAATGAAATGGGTGAATCTTGAATATATTGCTTGAGAAAGGTCTCAGCAGCTAAATTCTGTCCTTGAACTAAATATAAATGTATGGTTTCTCAAAGAATTGCTCTGCAGAGGCTGAACTATCCTGGACACATCCTACTTAAGGAGTATAAAAGGTCAGTGGTGCATTAACTGGGGACATCCTCTACACTTTCTTTATGTCACAGCAYAGACATGGCCTGACACATGTGCTGGCAACCAAAACCACACCTGGGATTGTGGGTRTGATGCAGTAGGACTGAGAGAGGAGCTGCACTTCTGACTTGCTGAACCAGGGAGACACGATCTGGCCCATTTAATCATCCTATAAAATGCAGCAGTGAACTGCTATTATGGAATCTATATTATGAGAAATTGTGTCTCATCCATCTAATCCTCTGCTGCTACATTACAGAAAAAAAAAAAAAAAAACAAAAAACCAACCCCAACAAAACCAACCCTAACAAATCCAAACCTGTGCTGGAAGTAAAAAGGCACACTTGGGAAATCATGTATGTTTCTGGCTTCAGTAACTTTGCAAGACATTATAAATTGAAGCAATGCAATCTTGGCAGGACTGGCCCAGACACCCACTTTCATCAGAATCAATCATTACCTGGCTGACATTCCTACAGGGTAAAACAGAATAGATGAACCTGAAGGATGATTTCCATCTTTTATTGTGCTTGTAACTTATTTTTCAGTAAAATTAATCCAACCATCAATTAATTWAAAAAGGGTCCAGTGCAAATCTTTAATCACATCTTTGTGTGCAATATTCTTCACTAAGGCTTTCATAACTACTTCAGGTGTTTTTAACATTCATTGATTAACAAAAGCAGGAAAAATGTTACCAAAGGTCACCTATCATTTAACTTTAATGATGGGAAACATCGCTTATTCAGCTGACACAAATTAATTCAGCCCTTTCCAAGTACTTCAAGTCACCTGCACTTTAATAAGACTAAATACATTTCATCTCAACTACTATCTCCAGCAGTGGGAAGAGCTGCTCAGAAAAGCTGAGCTTCSAAACAGCAAGAATCAAACACAGCACCATCTTAATGCTGCTAAAAGAGTTCATAAAGAAAATTATCATGGTAGTATGCTTTTCTACAAAATGAAATACACTTGTTAATCTATGTGTGAAATAAAAGAGAGAAAATAACCAAGTTCCAAAGTGAAGTCTGACATTTTTTGTGCAATGGTAATGGTCTTTACAGGCATAAACAAATTTGTACTTCCTTTAACAGCTCACTTGATCTACTCAGCAGCTACACAGTCAGCAAGCAGATTCTGTATTAAAAGTGTGGCCAGTGAAATCTGTCTTTCAGACATACATTCTTAGAAACTACATTGCTCCTTCTCAAAAAACACGCTGTCTTAAACACAGCTATTGCGAATGACAAGAAAAAAATTGTCAGTCCATTTCAATGTAACTTAAAAAAAGTTGTCAGTCCTTGCATTTCAAAAAGTGGAGACTGAGAAAACCAATGCCTGAAAAGCAAGGCAGAAAGCCTGGAGAATAATTTTTTTCAGACTTTATTTCCTCTTCCTAAGCTTCTTTTTGAATAATTTGAGGAAATTTCCAGAGGCATTAATTTTCATCTTATGAGTTAAATCAACTTACCTGAAGGACTATTCTGGAAAAAAAAACAAACTGTATTTTACCACTCTGCTGTGTGTGTGAATCTTTCTCTAGGAATGATATTAATTTTTGCCAGAACATCAGTCTTTGAGTTCTGAATTTATTTTAGATTGAAATCACTGGTCTGTAGTTTATTCTAAGTGTTTGTTCTAATATAAGACTTTTTACCACATAAAACCTCTTTAGATATCTGTGCTGCTTTTGAGTAGAACCATACTCAAAAGATTCATCCCTGTTTTCAAAATATCAAGGCAAAGACATAGTTTATGCTAAAGACTGAATCAACCTAATGATGAAAACTATGGGGGAACATTTCTGTTATTGAGGTACATTGAACTTTCTGCTAGAAGAACAAAAACTTATGTGATAAAAGTCAGAGCATTTCCAGGGTCTAAAAGAACTTCAGCATGAGCAAGAAGCTGTCACAAAGCTCACTGATGTCCACTCAAAATGCAGGAAGTGCCACCTTGAGCTCGCACTCTCTAATAAAAGTGTACACATGTACTTTGCACGCTCCTCCCTTAGCAAATTGTTCTGGATCTCCAGCAGTAAGATCTGTTTGTGGGGGAGTTTAAACCACCTAAACCCTTTGATGAAGGCAGCCTAGTGTCACTTGGATTTTTGGTCACAAATAAGACACAATAACCCCATTAATATCAATGAGTTATAAAATAATGGCTCKGCAAAATCAGGTGCTCTGCATGTTTAAATTTTTCATTCATGTTTAAATCATGCAAGACAATAAATACTGCTGCAAATGATCTTCCAAAAAAATACAGAGGATCTGGGTGGGTCTTAAGCCTGCCAAAGACAACATGATTCTTTTGTCATTTATGGTGGTCTAAATCTGGGACAATTTCATTCAGAAGTGATGCTTAGCAGTGGCCAAGAAAAGACAACATCTACTACGCAAATCAAACAGCAGCAGCAACTGCAAATTTCAGAAATATAAAACCCCCTTCTACTGCTGTAGATAGGCTTGTCACTCTTGGCTGTAATTATGCAACTTTTGGCTATCTTAGATTTGGTAAGAATAGCTGATATAATTCCTAAATAATTGGGGATAGTAGGGTAGATAAGTAACTTGTTTAYATTTGCTAATGGACCTGATTACCCCTACATTTTCCCATTTAATGCCTATGGTTTGACAGTGATAAAAAAACAGAATTAGTGCACCAGAATACTGACACAAGAACCTGGTTAACTGATTCTGTCACAACAGATATGAATTAAACTGGCAGTTCTGGGTAAATATGTAAAATACATATTTATAAAATGTTAGCTTGGGGGATTGAGCTTTATTTTTACAAACTCAACTCAGATGCTCTTCAATCCATGCTAATGTATATATMATTTTGCATTCCACCCACAAGAGCTTATAAATGAAAAACAAAATCACACTCTTTTAGYTTTGAATTTCCTTTACAATTATCCTGCATTCATCATAAAAAWTAAAACAGAAAAAAAAGTGTTAGCAATTTCCCATGCAGTGACATTTTCCCTGAAGAAACTATCATATTTTCTAGAGTACAGTGAACTGTCTCCAGAAAATATAATTCCCACTGTGAAGTATGTCCAAAGAATTATTTAGGAAACTCTTCCAAAGCGTAACATTTAAAATTATAAAAAAGAGAATAGATTTTGAAATGTTTATCCGACTGAATCTAATTTAATTGGAACAAAAGTGTGTGTTGCCATCCAATCTGTCCACTCAGGAAAAAGATTGCAAGTAGGAAACTGTGTATAGTTACTTCTGCAGACATCCCTTGCTTTGACACTGTGTAGCTTTATGATGKCCTATGTGGACCAGAAATGAAAACTCCCTTTGACTGTTTTTGAAGAACAGAATTACCAGAATCAAACTGAAAGTTTGCCCAGTTTTCTGGGTTTTTTTTTCACTAGTGAATGCTTACTAGGGATTAGAAGACTCACTCTGAAAGAAGAAAGATTGCAAACTATCTTGCCACTAACGAGAATAAACATCAATATGATTCCTAGTTGTTTTAAAAGAAGCTCTAACCTGTAATAAATTCATTCCAATTTCAATAAATTACTTYCATTTTCAATGAAGTAAAGCAAACATGATTTCCTGGGAAATARAAGAACCAGTGGTGTCCATTTGTTTCTTGTCTTTCCCTGCCACCTTGTGGTTGCTCAGAACAGAGCACTGCTCATTCCTGACTAGTGATCAATTCACACCCCATAAAACCTGTTCCTCTGACACTCCCTAACTTCCCCTGCCTCTTTCACACACTTTGACGCCCTTCATGTCCAATTCCGTGTACAGCACACTGAGATCTCTGCTCTAACACTCTGTGGGTGATATCAAAATTAACAGATTAAATGATACCTACCTGCAATTAATGTTTTTTTCCTCTCACAAAAYTGTAGTTCAAAATACTTTATAAAACAGCTGGAAAAATCATTCAAGGGTGTCTTAGCATGTCCAAAGGCCTCCAGGATACAGTTTACCTGCAAATAGTGAAGAAGTAATAAGAGAATAAATAAACAGGAAGGTATTTCAAGAAACTTCAGTGAGGTTGGCTCATGGTGGGAGGGGGAAAGACATTTTTCATCTACGAATTTGAAAAAAAAAATACTTGGCAGGTTTTTGTTTTTTTTTTTTCCAAAACAGAAATTAAAGTAAGACAGCTCAAAATAAATTAATTCAAAAAAAGCAATGTAAGAGTAGTGGAAGTTTTAAGTGAAAGGRGAGGACAGCTGTTCACATGTGAGCTGTGTCCTTACCAGTAGTTTGGATGTGAGGGACTGGAATCATATTCCTGGAGCTTAGCAAAAATATTGGAATCTTTGAAAACAGCTTATGAAGTTAGTCAGTCAATGCTAATAACCCAACAAAAGCATTTACAAGTTTTATATATTGTCAGAAATGGCATAAATTATTGATTTCAAATAGAACTACTTCAGGATTACACTGAGGAAAAAATAGATTCAGGCATTTTTATGGCACGTCTCACTAATGCATTTCCATGTTAYGCTTTCATGGTCACAGCCATTGTGTTTAGCTTTTTAGTGTATAATTAGCTGCTTACACTCCTTTCACTCTGACAGATTCTTTATTTATCCTTAGAAGTTGATGGCAATGTGGCCAATATACACTATGGCTCTGACATAACTGTTTTCATGAAGCTGGATGACCTAGCTGGGAGGGAAGAGGTCTGTGGAGTGGCACAGACAACATGTGATTCAAATCACAAAAACAGAACCTCTGAAAATCAAACCCTTCACAATTATTAATTAAACCAGCCATCTGAGCAGTAGGTGGCAGCAGAAATCTAGTCAGCCTTGTTTTGGTTCCAGTTCCACTCYGGCAGTGTTTAGGATGTATTTGCTCTTACACGAAATCAGCACTTGCTTTAACCTGTGCACATTTATTAATTTAATGGCACTCTGCATCGGTGCAGAATATTTTGTTTGTTAAGGCACCTTAAAAGGCAACTAAATYAGAAGCTCTACTTTATTCCCTATGGGTGAGATATGATACTTTACTATCTAAAATCAGATATCCCATCTAAGTTAGTTGTAAAGGATCTCTCTATAACCAAAATTTGTGGTAATTCTCTTCCACCTCAATTGATTAAGACCCATTGATAGCTGTCTCTGTGCTGAGATCTCAGATGAGAAGTTTCATCGAGAAAGGTAATTTTTTWAAAGAATTTCAATTGGCAATTCGGGGTTCAGCATAATTTAAAATGTCAGTATGAACCTCTATAGGGAATTAAATATGGGTATATGGAAATCCACATTTTGAAAATTATACATGACTGAACAAATATTCMGAACTCATACCTATTTCTTAAATRTATTTAGTACACAAATATTGTGCCATACAACTTTGTTCAATCCTTGCAGTTTTCTTTCAAGTTTACAGTTTCTGTCTTGCATACTATTACTTCAGATGTCCCAACACTTCTTATACTGTCCAGCAAAGCATCACCACACAATACAGGCAAATTTATTTATTTACTGAGGACAATTAATTTAGTGTTTAAGAAACAGTTCCTTATCACAGAAATGTTTTCTATTCACTGCAACATTGATTTTGAAACTCACCAAAATAGAGAAACAAAACTTTGTCCACTTTTGATATTCCTCTTATCACATCAATCTGAGCTTAATCCCATTCCAATTCAGGGAAAAAAAAAAAAAAAAAAAAAAAAAAAACCAAAAAAAACTTCCTTTGACTTAAAAGGTAAAAACAAGCCATTTATGAATTTCTACAGAGCACATGCATTTTTCCTTACAGTTCAAATATCTTTGCCTATCAAAGAGGCCAAGTTTTTGCTTCATTCCACTCAGTGATCAGAATGCTACTTACATGTTTTATCTTTGTATCAAAGGCATTTCTGCTGCAGCYGGCTCTGCAAGTGAGGTGTTTCACTATTTGTTTGCAGGCTTCAGTCTTCCCAGAACCACTTTCTCCGCTGCAAGATGACAGGCGAGGGAGAAAGGGAGGAATCATTGTTAGTTTCACAATTGAAATGTTATTTATGTTCTCTCCCAGCTTTGTTTGAATGGATTTAAGGTACCTCCGTCAAACTTTCATTTCAAATAACAGAAGGTTTGTGGATGACAAATAAAGAAAACACAGGAGATAGAATGACTGACTGTCTATGTTCATGAGGGCTGTCAGAGCTGTCAAGATACACTGTCTTGTACCACAAGTCAAACCAATCAAATTTAAAGCTTTCAAGCCTTTTTGAAGGTATTTATAGCACAGATTTTATGTTTTCCTTTATCTTTTGTCCGGCAAAGGAGCTCACTTATGCTGCTTGGTTCTCCTTGCAGACGGGGAAATTACTGCTGTGGTAATGATGGGGAATCAGAAGAAATGGAAAGTGGAAAATACAATAGGAAGAAGGGAAAAAAAATACAAAACAAACAGGAAGGAAAAGAAAAAGCCGATTGATTTTACATCCAGCTTCTGCAACATACWCTGACTTTAGTGATTCTGTCTGGATCACTGTCATTTCTTGTTTGTGAWGTGGAATAAATATTCARACGAATGAGAATCTCTGACAGGGGAAGTGACCAAAATGAGATAAAAGATAACAGAATGATGATGGTGGAAAGAAACAATAGAAAAGTGGTGGGATGGAGGAAGGAAGCAAAATCAATGGTGCACTTTAAGCATGGAGAAGGAAGGAAAAGGAAAAAAAAGAGGTCGAAAGGATGAAGTTAGTGAAGCCTGATTAAGAAATTCATGCAAGAATTTCTTACTTGAATTATAAGGCGTTGTTTTCCTTACAGACAACTGAACCAAATAAAATGTAATTTGATGCTCCTTCTTCATTTATTCAGTTAATCAAACTTAAAAGGCTGTTTCTACAACAGCCAGTTAAATTTTTYACAGGTACAATGCATGTTATGACTGGTCAATCTGTTATCTGTGTATTTTAGTTTCTGAAAATAAGAAGGCAACAAAATAGAGTATGTGTTGGGCCATTCCTTTATCTGTTCAAATATCACTTCAAAGGGGAAATCAATTAAAAAGGAAGAAACAAAAGAGGGAAGGACTAAAAAGGACTTCATACTCAAATAGCAATTTAAATAGAACTTTTAATCTCATTCAACTCCCATGGGACATACATGTAGCTGTGGTGATTATCTCATTGTTTGCCTGGAAGACTTCAGTCTTACGCGACAAAACAGATCTTGTCATTACTSTGTGTGATGTGCCAAACTGCTTTTATCCGTGTTGTCCATGTTTCTATAACAGGGAGGAGACTGATGGTCCAAGACTACAATGGTTTGCAACCTGGCTATGTGTTAAAGTATCTGATTAAATTCAGCTGTRGGTCCTGAGGGAGCTGGTAGATTGAAGTTGTTAAGCCACTATYCATCATTTTTGAAAAACTGTGGCACTCAGGTGAAGTCCCTGCTATCTTGCAAAAAGGCACATATATCTATTTTTAAAAAGAGGAAAGCAGAAGACACAGGGCGCTACAGACTAATCAGTCTCTATTCTATGCCAGAGCTACAGCATTGATGGAAAGCAACCCACTGTCTTCCTGAACTCATGTGAAGTGTTTGACACTGTCCTGCACAATATGCTTGTCTCTAAATTTGAGATACATAGATTTGATGGATGGACCATTTGGTGAGTAAGGAACTCAACATCTCCTTATCCATGTGGAAACCAGAGATGAGTGGTGTCGCTCGGGGGTCACCTAATGCTGCCAGCGACACAGACATTGGGATTGTGCACACCCTGATCAAGTTTGCTGACGACACCAAGTTGAGGGGTGACACCTCATGCTGGAGGGAAGGGATGCCACCCAGAGACCTTGGCACAATTGAGAGGGGGCTGGTGCAAACCTCATGAAGTTCAACAARGCCAAGAGCAAGATCCTGCACCTGGGTCACGRCAACCCCAGACAMACCCACARGCTGGGCAGAGAAGTGACTGAGAGCAACCCTGAGCAGAAAGACTTGGGAGTGATGGCCCCATGGTCACCATGAATTTGAATAAAAAATTCACCATGCATGCACTGGGAGTGTGTGCTCACAGACCAGAAAGCCAAGCAAATCCTGGGCTTGGCCAGTGAAACCTGGCTACTGGTTGAAGGAGGCAATTTTCCCCTTCTACTTCATTCTTGTTGAGTGCTGCATCCAGCTCTGATGTCCCCAGCATAAGGACACTGAATTGTTGGAGCAAGTCCAGGGGAGGGTCACAAAGTTGATAAGAGGACTGGAGCACCACCTCTATGAAGACAGGCTAAGAAARTTGGGGCTTTTCATTCCCAGATTCCTTCCAGAATCTGGAGGGGGCCTATAGAGAAGCCAGAGAGGGACTCTTCATCAGGAACCGTAKTGTCAAGACAAGGTGTAATGGGTACAAACTGAAGGAGAGGAAATTTAGGTCAGATATTGGAAAGAAATCTTTTACTGTGTGARTGGTRAGACACCAGAACAGGCTGCCCAGGGAGGCTGCGGATGCCCCAACCCAGGAGGTTTTCAAAGCCGGGCTGGATAAGACCTTGGGAAACCTGGGAGGTGTCCCTGCCCACGGCAGCAGGGTTTGGGAATAGATGGCCTTTAAGGTCCATTACAACCTCTTCACATTCTATGATTCCATGTAATGTGAAGATCTCAACTTACAGGTCACAAAGCCATGTTCAAACCAGGTSCAAGAGCAAAAGAAATTGTGTAATGTCAAGATGGTCACTGTCCCAACTAACATTAAATCAGCATCTCTCCAGAAATGACAAGGTTCTCCTTTAGTGTGATATCCCTTGATCAGATTTTCAGCTTCTGACTTTCTGGAAGAGTTTCAAAAGTCAGATGGAACTTGATGTCACCCTACAAAAATTCATCTCTGCACTCTTAATGATGTCTTCACTCTCCCAACGCTAATTGTACGATGTTGGCGCTACTCTTATGATCTAGCATTAGCCACCTGCCTTTATAATGGCAATCTACAAATTCCACATTTCTCAGCTGGCTGTCATCATCAGGAACAAAGAAAAATTTAAATAGGATATTAGTCCTGTGACACTGCTCCTCTACAGACATTTCACAATCYGGCAAATTATAGCTCTTACACCTGTATTATCCAAAAAGTCAATGAAATTATAGACAGATATAAATCTATCATAGCTCCTCTCTTACTGCCCACTCACACTGGCCAGTTCACTCCAACTGTGTCATGATGATGAAATAGTTTTGTCTCTTCACAACATACTTAATCCAAGATCACAGCTGCAACCTGCTATCACTGCACCACAGGTTACCCACCAGATTAGCAACAGTGGCTCTTTGGTTATTTCAGCTGTTAAGGAACTTCTCTGAAATTAAAACATCTCTGATGTCTCTGAGTCTATACTCACAGTTACAGATTATGCTATTGAACAAAAGTGTTCATTTATGTTTGATAATCAGATCTGACATAATTAACAGTTTGTAAGAGTTCACAGCTTGTCCAAAGCATACTGCCTTTTATATCCAGCAGGTAAGTGTTAGCATCATTCTGAGAGCTGCACAAGACTTGATATTTAACAAACTGTTTTAGCATTTCATTATTTTGGTTTTTTCAGGCCCAACCACATCTGCCAAAAACAGATGTCTAACAGACTTTTTTCTTTTTTCCACTTCGTTTTAAATTCTGACCAAAGGTACCACACTCAGAAGTGCAGAAATACTTACCAAAAAAATCTCACCCCTGCAGTACTTGAACTATTATTAGAAATGCTGGAAAACTGCTGATAGAATGTGTTCCTATAAKATTTCCACCAGATTTAAAGGAGAACAGGTGTGCTGTTCTGCATGAAATTCTGAAAACAATCTCTTATTCTACCACCCAAAACAGTGAGCATTGCTACTCCAAATTCCCACTAGTATAGTAATATATATCCAGGCAAGAGTGACTAAGCTTGCACACTTTTGGGAGCCAGAACAATTTATTTCTTCTCCATTTTCAGAAGTATGTAGTGAGACACTGAGTCTTGCTTCCAGTGACTGAAGTTTCAAGATTTGAAATAAATATGGGCAAGCAAAACCATTAAATACAAAAGAAGTTTTGCATTACCAGTAATGCTATCTGTAACTGATCAATCTTGCATGTGAGTTGAAAATTTTATTTCTAAAATTAAGCTAAATTTGACAGTGTATTTCTAATGTTTTAATACAAATATGTAATTGTACTCRAGCAGCCCATTGCACTTACACTACACAGAATTATACTTTCAAAAAATAAATATTATTAACTTGAACAGAATGGCTTTGRTGATGCTAAACTGAGGAAATTCAAAGCTTTCAATGCATTCCACTCTAAAACACAAGGATTTCTCTCCATTCCAAATTATTTGGCTTAAAATTGTGATTTATATCACAACAGTATCATTGGATACTGACACTCCTGGCTGTTAGCAAGTAATAACATTTCATTTGATGTATTCATTACGACTTTTTGACTCACAAAATTAGCCATCAGCATGCCATAAATCTTTGGTTTGATTTACTAAGTATCCTTAGCTTTTAAAAAGCCGATATTTAGGCTCCCTAGACAGYTCTTTACTTATCTTGTCAGTGCTTAATGTATTTTCAGATCCTGAAAAGCAGGAGCAAAATGCAGTCAGAAGAAAGCTAATTATGCAAAGTCCACCTACTGGCGACTTAGGAGGATAATTATTAATGTTATTTTATTCTGTAAGTTCCATGCAAAGCTAATACAAAGGCAGATCCTGGTGTTAAGTACACATGAGGGGAGCTGGCTTGTTGTAAACTGAAAGTAATTGTGAATAACTGATAATAAGATCTTCAGTGATTTGGCCAAATGCTTTACTGATGTAAAATGCTCCACTTCAGTGAGAACACTTCATCAAAAGAGAAGTGACTGGAGAAAAAAAAAAAAATCTTGTAACATGGGAACAAATTTGGCTGCATCTCAAGTCCTGTGTCCAGTTTGGTCTCCTCATTTCAAGAAAGACATTCAAGGGCTGGAGGAGCCCAGAGAAGGGCAATGGAACTGGGGAAGGGTCTGGAGCACAAATCCTGTGAGGAGCAGCTGAGGGAGCTGGGGGTGTTTTTCCTGGAGAAAAGGAGGTTCAGGGGAGACCTTATCACTCTCTACAACCTCCTGGAAGGGGATTTTAGTGAGGTGGGCGCTGGCCTCYCTTCACAGGCAACCGGCAACAGGACAAGAGGAAACTGTCTCAAGCTGAGCCAAGRGAGGTTCAGGTTGGACAAGAGGAATTTCTTCACAGGAAGGGTGATTGGACTTTGGAATGGGCTGCTCAGGGAGGATTTGGAGTCACCATCCCTGGAAGTGTTCAAGGAATGACTGGACATGTGCCATGGCTCACTTGACAAGCTGGTGTTCAGTCAAAGGTTGGATTCCATGTTCTCAAAGGTATTTTACAATCTCATGGATTCTGTAATCCCATGGAGGATATTAAGATCCAGAAGATATGAAAGTAAGTAAAGTATGAAAAGACAGAGAAGACTGAGCAACAAATTTCTTTGACTGAATACATCAAATCCACCAGACTCATTGCTACCAGAGTTGGAGAAAAGAAGAATTAACTGATCTGGGGATTAAAAAGTTAAAAAGGTGAATGTCAAGTTTCACCATAATAAAATCAGCATATTTGGATGAAACTCTTTGCAACGAGGATTACTAATACATTTATTCAAAATCTTGAAATTATTTATCATTGAAATAACACTAYGAATAAAGGCTGAGGTCCATTTAAAAGTCCATTCTGAGCTTGGAARGCTAAAAAACAAACTCAAGGCCACACAAACATGTGAGGCAGACTGCAAGCTCCAATACAGGCACTCACTACACAGGTTTATAATTTAGTCGAGAACTTATCAGTTTTATTGTCAATAGATTGTTTCTAATCCTGATTCATGTAATATTAGCAGACACACACAGCAGTTTTGAATTCTTTACCATTAACTCTTGTTCCTAATTAGATGCAGCTACATGGAGTGGCAATTCCCCAAGAGAATTTATGAACTTGAGATGTAATTAAACCTTTTTCATTTCTATTTTGCTCTAATGTATGATACAGAGATCAGTACACAGAAAGAAAATCAGTTGGAGAAAAAAATAAAATGRAAATCTCAACTGCTGAGGCCCAGGGGAAACAGCTGAAAGGCGGGAGGTACAAATTAATTAATAGAAAGATAAATTTTCACCTGAGGATAAAGCACTGGGGACGCTGCTCCTGGAATAGCATGTGGTAAGCTCTTTCAGCACAGGAAAATATATGTGGGGGAAGTGAGGAACATAGTTTTCCAGAGTTACTTAAATAAAGCTGGGTGACCTGAAAAATTGTAGAAAATTAAAATGATAAATACATTTCAAAACAATTATGTTTCACCCCCCTAATCTTGGGTCTTTTGAAAAGCTTTCTAAACATTATGAACAGAATCTCTTTATGTATGGAAGTGATACTACTACAACAGCTATGAAGATTTTAATTACAGAAAATAGAGCTTTAAACACAGTTAAGATACAAAATTAAACAAAACTAGAGGATTTAACAGTATTGTTTTGTGCATAAGGTAGAACAAAACCTAGTATTTTTAATACTCTACATTTATAGTTTTTCAATGTCTTGACTTGAAAATTTACAAAAYGAAATATGAACATCCCATAAAAAACTGATATGGAAAAAAAAGGAGTAAGCTATAAACTAATTAAGTTATTATATGACAGAGCAGTGTCCCACAAATACTCCTTCTGCAATACAGAATAACTTCTTATGAACACAGCTGGCAACATATTCTGTCCTTGAAGCCTGAGTAAAACCAGTTATCTGCTACAGAACCCACTTTTTTTTTTTTTTCTTTTTCTGAGGGTATCCTGGTGTTCTCGCCCCTTTCTGTCCCATGCCCATCTTATTTATTTAAATATTAAACTATTCAATCCTGGGGTATCTACAACATTTTAGCTGAATGAATCTTTCATTATATAGTCTCAGTCAGGCCTTAAGGGCTACCAGACAAAAAAAAAAATAAATCCACACCAGCTCTCCAGGAACCATTTCAGAATGTGACAAAGTACAAAGGAAAACCTTCACACAATTATTTTCAATGCAAAATGTTGCAAGTTTGCATATTTTTCTAACACGAACTTCAAGAATAAATTTGACCTAATCAGGCACAAGGAAATTCTGCAGGAATGTAGCAAAGCAGCACAACCACAGCTCAAGCACTTCTGCTGTCACTAGAATAGCTTCATAAGTGGTATTTGCACATTCCTAGCAGTGTAATGCTATTATAATGTGTTAATGGATGATTCTTTATGTCAACTCAGAGTGGAAAAATTGCTTATAAAAATATTTATTTTAGTAGTACTCTATTSGAACTAAGTGTGGGAGGTCAGTGCATGATAACAAAATTATGCTTGTTGAGAAGTTACGAACAGAATTTTTTWAAAAAGAAGGAAACATAAAATGTTGCTCTCACAATAATCTTTTCATTGCTTCATTCTTGTTTTAAAAGTAGTACCATACCCAATACATTTGCATTCCTTTTATTTTTGACAGCTAACAAACTACATMCCTGAAACAAGAATTCTAATGAGCCACATCATATAGCATGTCAGCATCTACTGAGGAACTGACATCATCACTTTTTATTGCTTTAACATACAGACCATTCAACACTTAGAGACTTTAATACAATACCAGCTAAGCTTGAGCATTTCAAAAACAGTGATTTTACAACCATGTTTTCTTGATCAACTGGGAAATACCTACATAATGCCCAATAGTGTGCAGATTATAATTATGAAATAAAAACAATAAATATCCAAGATGACCCAAAAAATTATAGGACAAAAAGCGTCTCATGATAAACTTAATTAACTAGATCTATCACAGAAAAGTGCAGCAAACATTCGGGAAACATTTTAATATATAAACTCTTTCTCTTCRTAGTTCTCTCTTAGTGCACAAAATCATGTATCTAATATAAAATACACAGTGGCAGGAAAAAACACCATCATGTAAAACCTTGGAGATGAYGAATAGTTTTCATTTCTAGAAATAAACTCAGACCCCAAGTTGGAATCTGCTGCTCCTACCATGAAMATCACAATGGTTCTTTCTCTTAGATTTACTGCTGATACACACGAAGCCACGTGAGGTAGTAAACAGCCACAAATTAAAATTTTCTTATCAAATTTTAACTCTCTATAATTCTTGTAAGTTAAATAAACATATTTGAATATTCCCTATCAGGGAGCCTGATCTCTGTGATCTCAGTGCAAAGGTAAGAGGGGAGGGAAGGATAAATTAACAGTTATACCAACACTGTATCTCTAAAATGTCTGGGTAAAGATGAAGGAAGTCAAAATGTTTGATTGTGTTCATATGACCCAAGTCCCCCTTGCCCACACGCTGCCTGTGCCCCACAAAAGCCACTTCCCTATGCCTGACCCAGGGCAGCCTTTGTGCACCATCCAAGGTTGTTATCTCCATAATCGTGTTTTGGGCAAGGGGATGTGAACTGAAACAATCACTGTATGAAGTATGCACCAATTTTTGTAAGTTTGACTGTGGCAGAAACCACCAACGTCATCAGGAACCATTTTTAAACAATAAAAAGTGCTTCTGCTCATTCAAAGCGTTACCAAGATTGCTGTTTCACCAATAAGACACAACAAAAATAGTTGTATCTTGGAAGAAACTTCTAAAGTTTCGTTAAAATACTAAAACTAAATGCTCCCCACATGAGTATATATGTTAATTAGGGGCTTGGCCTGTCAAATGAACTGTATGACTTGTGAAAAAAATTCTGCAACCTTTTAGAAAAAGAATGCTTACCATGGTAGAATAAATAGGAAGTTCTTTAAATGGGTTAACAAGCAACAGTATATCACCAATGTAGGTCTGAAAAAAAGAAGATAGAATTGCTTTATTAAGTAATAAATTAAAATTTTAAGGAGGCTAATGGCTTTCTTCCAAAAAGAAGCCTCAGCAAAGCCTCTTAAATCTAGCTAACAATATGCTAAAACGGAATTTATGAATTCCGAGCTTTTAACTCCATAGTTTGAACTTGAAATCTAAATTTACATTTTCAATAGAATTAATTAGACTTTTTGTAATAAMACTGAGTTCTTCATAACTGAAAATTATGCAGAGAAAAATTGCACTACATATATTATTGGTAGATTATTTCAAAGCTAATTTGTAACTTACCACTTGCTAAACTATGAAAATGTCACAGAATCACAGGAACTGCTGAGTTGGAAGGGACCCACAAGGATCATCAAGTCCAACTCCTGGCATGCCTACCACATAAACAAGCTATTCAAGTGATTTTTTGTGGAATAGATGACATWATTTAGAAATGCTATATTGGTTATCCAGGGCTGATCCATTAAAGTATGTTGCTTGTSGGATAAGACAAAGCAATTTATACATATATAAGTCTTTATGCAACTGTGTATGGGCAATTGTATGAACATCTGAGCATGCATCTAGAAGAACTATCCTGACTCTTTTAGAAAGAGTAAACCATCTAATGATTGCAAAGTTTGCATAACTTTACTATTTAATGTTTGGGGCTGCTGATGGATGAGAGGGTGGACAAAGCCAATCTGGCAYCCTGGGCTGCAGCAAAAGCAGCAGGGCGAGGGAGGGGATCTGCCCCTCTGCTCTGCTCTGCTCTGCTGAGACCCCCCTGCAGTGCTGCATCAGCTCTGGGGTCCCAGCACAGGAAAGTCAAGGACCTCTTAGAACAAGATGAGACCCACAAAGATGATCAGAGGCCTGGAGCACCTCTGCTACAAACACAGGATGAGAGAATTGAGATTGTTTAGCCTGGAGAAAGCTCTGGGGAGACCTTTTAGCAATCTTCCAGTACCTAAAGGGGCCTACAGGGAAGAGAGGGAGGGACTCCTCATMAGGGATTTAGTGACAGAATGAGGGGGAATGGTTTTATATGAAGCAGAAAGTGTTTATGCGAATGAGGACTTTGGCTTTGAATTGGAGTTACCTGATCTCTTTGAAAGAGAGATAAAGAAAAATAAATWCTTCTATTATGAGTATTTTTTAGGATTTGATCCACGATTCTAAACCCCTGATTTTTTTTACCATTGAATGCTGTAACACCTAAAATTGAAGTTCCCRTGAATTCAAAAGGAGTCACAGGAACGTAACAGTTCCCCATATTCCTTAAGTGTAARCAGTATAATCAACTTACAAATTTTAAATAATATGCATATTTCACATTTGCATTCCACTCAGCTGTTCAGTAAGTTAGTAATAAGTAAGATATGGACAGGCATACAAAAATTTTCAAGTGCCAAACTGCATGTCTTCTATTCTTATTACAGCACAACCAGGAAAACCTTCTTTACAAAACCTTGCTATAACAGTTTCTTCTAGTATCTAGATGATTAACATCACAATACAAATAATGATTTMTCTTGGAAGAAATTAATTAAATCTCCTATGCTCAACTGCAAGCTTTTTACATCTAAATTTCTTTTACATTTCCAGTAATTGTGCTCTACTAAATGAACATGATGTTAAAAAGGGAAGGATTTTTTTGAGAAGGAAGATTACAAATCATGGTGGTGCAGGCCATACTATGATCTGAGTGACCTTGTGTTCATCAATGTTTACCAACATTCTTCCTCTCTGAAATAAACACACATAAATTGTCTTCAAACTTATCTGAAGTGATATTCCATTTTTTATTTCTCCCTTTCCTACACAAGCTTGAGGAATTGCAGGGCTTACCCACACATGCACACAYGCCCTCATCAGTTTAAAACTAGTCATGAGTTCAGGGCAGGTCACTGTCCAATAGTTATGAYAGTAATCCTATTTTTCCTACTCTCTTTGCTCTTTTTTGGAAGGTTGCTGTTGACAGGCAAATAGCAACTCACATATATCTGATTATTGTTGAAACGCTTCTGGATCTCATAAAGCAGGCTGCTGTCTGTTAGCTCACTCAGAGAAGCCAGGTCATCATTTGGAGCTGGAGGCATTAGCTTGATCTAGAAAACACAAATTAGAGAAATAAAGTAACTTCACAAYGAATCATTCTGTACCATAATGTTCTAACTTACAGTATAAACCTAGACCCCTAGCATTTATGGGGAAAAATGCAACTGGAAACTGGAAAGTTGTCATTCYTGAACAATTTCACATCATTAATCTTAATCATGGCAAGAATATAAAAATTATTATCAATGTTATGGTGTATAACTACATGAGTCTGATGGGCTCTTAAGAACAAATCAGAGTGCTATTTGCAATCCTTAAACCCATAAAGATTCTCAGMTCAAATGCAATTTTCCTGCTCTCCTCCTTAAATGTTTATAGCAGAAAARGTCAAGAAATTAGTTGGTACACTTGYAAAGTCCAGTATTTAACAAMGCTCTCATACCACTCTTTATCACAYAGGTTTTGAAATTCTACTGGAATTTTTCTTGCAGATTAGAAGAAAGTTAGTAAGAAATTGAAATTGTGTTGTCATGGAAACAAGATTATCAGAAGAGGCCACTTTAGCCAAAACTGGTAAGTGAAATTGTTTAACCCTTTTGAGATTTAGTATGAAAAATATAAAATCTGCAAGAGTAAGTAAAAAGTAAATGTTAATGAAACAAAAAAAGATCCAAAAGACTAATACAGGAGACAGAGCAAAAAAGAATCAGTGATAATGGAAATTTGATTCAMGAGAAAATAAAAATTGATACATTAAGCAGAGTCCTTATACATAATGATCTACACTTAAAATGGAGTTAAATTCATTTTTCATGTTCAGCAAAATACCCAGAAATATTSTCACATGAACTATGATAGAATTAAGTTGTTTGTTCAGATTTTATTATARTAACTTAGGATCTGTTTTGAGGAAAGACGATGAAAATGAAACTTCTTTCTTCTATCATTCTGCTTAAAAGGAAGGCTCAGGAGAAAAGCAAAMTGTCCTTTTTTGGTGAACACCTCAGCACCTTCAGTCTCTGGAAGYTGCAGGAGCTCAGCGACAGAAGCAGCAGATTTGGAGATACCAGAGGGAACACAGAGTGTGCTTCTGTCACAGGAAAAACCCAAAGATTGTGGATACTCGTGTTTGAACTTCTGAACTGCAGCTGTTCCCATAGTTCAGGGTCTACATGATACTCTGATTTGATGATATTCAAGGTCTATTCCAGAAAACATGATACTCTGATTTCACAGCCTGTGCCTTATAGAGGTGTGTGTCTACCTATTGCAGAGGTTTGTTCCTCACCCTATTAAAGTGAATGAAGATTCCTCTGTCACACAGAAGAGGGCACTTCTTGCTCTTTTTGTTTCTAATCATGGCAGCTGGATGCACAGCTGACTAGAAAACTAGAATTCCACTTGKCAAAACAAAAATAAAAAGGACATYTTGGCATCTGTCTTTGATGACAAAYAYTGRAATAGAAARAAAGAATTAAAAAAAGAAATCCAAGAACGTTTTCAAGTGTCTTGGAGAGAGAGAGCTGGGAGACAGAAGTCTGTGGCCTCCTTTCCYTAACTTTGCTCACCTGGCATGCAGGAACAAAACAGGCATCAGTCTTCACTGCACTCCCTTGTGTGCCATCAAAACTCAGAACATCTGTGCCGTAGAATGAGCTTCTTTTAATCTRTCTCCATAAACATTAAACCTCTGCCATGTATTTGTAAATAAAAGAAGGGTTTGGATAAAAGTACTGCCCTGGGATTCTCCATATTTTCTGAACTTTTAAACACACTTCCTCATACATTCCTTGCTCCTGCCAACTAGTACTCATGCAGATAAGACTGGATATCATTCGGGGCCACATGTCAATTATCATTTCCCACAGGTCATTTCAGCATGGCCCCATCTCTGGAGGGAGAAAAGAGTTTTACCTTATACGTGTGTACAGACTCATCCCACACAGCCCCAGGCCAGCAAACAGGCCCTGGCTTGCATTTATTTCATAATCTAGGCATGGCCAAAAATGCTTATTCTGTAGATATGTTTAGAAATGTGAAGTGCTCAGTAAAGCGCCAAGTAAGGAAATCAAAATATTTTCAACTCTTCTACAAAGTTTAGGATCTGAAGTTTCAGCATTTTCTACCAGATACACTGCATCCAATTTCACGGTTCAACRACCAAATAATCACATAGAAATAAGAAACTCTAAATCACTTAAACTCACAACTGATTTGACTAAACAGTMAATGTTACGCACATTATTAATATCTTATTTGTGGGCACCTTGAAGTCCCATTCTACTTTTCTGAACCTAGAGATGTGGTTTTTCTAGCTCAAAGCATCTATCTAGCTATCATTCTAATTACAGGATGCATCTCATTTTATGAGACAAAAAAGAAAAATAGCCATACACACACCATTCCAACATAACTACGCCTCTGGAAGTGATTAGTTTTTTAATTTTTCTAATGCTTACAATGAAGATTTCTATTTACTTTTTAAATTACATACACTTAACAACCTTCACAATCTGCTCATAAAATAATTTCTAGTTTTATATATATATATATATATATATATATATATAAAATACATTATATATATATATATATATATATTAAAAACCTCTTTCACTGAAATATGTGTGCATAACAGCTCTTTTGTGTAATATTGTTACACACAGATGTGCCTGCCTGTGTTATAACTGTCATTGGAACAATCAAAAGGGAACCAGGGGATACTCTATCACATATTCATGTGGCCAAAAATACATAAACAAGAACCATAAGAAAATTTAATTTTTTTTAAAAGACCCAATTAAGAGAAAGAAAATATTTAATTTATATTTATTTGCAGCAGGAAGCATGCAATTCAATTCCAAGCCATTMATTTCAATCTGCTATCAAAAAATATCCTTCCCAGATGAGATGAAGAGAAATTGGGAGCATGATAAAATTCTAAAAATTATTCATAGTGCTTTGTTTGGCTGCACAGATCTTGACACTATGGATGATCAAAGAACACCTTTTACCCAGGAAAAAAAGCAAAAGCTAATACAAACGAAGAGACGTCCAAAACCTCCAAAATGTAGTCATTTCATCCCCATCTCCTATGCTTCAAGTAATAAGAATCTTCATGAGAAATAGAATTTTCTTGCGGCTCTTTTTCATCATTTTTGCAATTAAAAAAACSTGAAGCAATATATAAATTTGAACTGTTATTTCTTTTCAAACCAAAAAAGTTACGGGTTTTTTTCTATTAAAAATGCATGTTTAAAATGTACTAGGATGAAATTTTTCTTTTTGATCTCCCAATAAAGGYCTAATCTGCATGCCATATTGCCTAAGAATGTATGATATTTCTGACACAAAGCATATGAAATATCATCCTGATATATTTCAATAATATATGAAYATAAAACCCAAGTAATGACTCCACATAACCTATTGAAAAATTAAACAAAACATGATTACTTTGAGTGTAGTTTGAATGCAACTGGTAAGACTAAAAGATAGTGAAACTCATTAGAATTAGGATACCCAAAAGGAAGGAACAGTGGGAAGGGGTTTTTCAAAGCTTTCCTTTGGTATTAGCACAAAAAAAAACAATTTTCTTCCCACGTTGTGAAATTTAAAAATTATAACTAAAAAAGTGTTATTACATGGATAAATATCATCTTTGAAAACTAAGAGCTAAATATTATTTACACAAATATAGATATGATATACATTGGCCCATAGTTCATAGTGCATGGCAAGCAGTAGAGAATACAATCCTTGTATTTCCAGGATCACAATTACATCACTTCAAGAAAGAAAAAAATTACATATTTTAATTTGACAAAATCTAGGTACTCTTCACTAAAATTTAACAGTTTCCTGAAGTGATTAAACTAGTTTACTCTTTCCTTCATAAAAGCTAAAGATCATTAACTCCTTGCTAACTGAAGAGTTGTGTTATCCCTTTTGTAATGCAACCAGTCATTTAAAAACTCACTAAAATAGCACCATTTCTGATCTATTCCCTGTTAGATATCTGTCCCTCTTAGGGCCTCTTCCTATCCCTTCCACGCTAGAGAGCATCACTCCTAATTCAGCATCTACAGGTATTTTCTAGTTTTCACTGCTTCTAAAAAAACATAAGATACATACTCCGAGCTTGTTTTTAGAGCAGAATTTGAGACTGCTTCTCAAATAATGGAGGTAAAACAGATTCACCTTTAAGCCTGCTCTCTTATCTTTGAATTGTAACTATTGTGGGAAATTCCAGTGTACTATGGTGAAACAGTAGGAGTGCTTTTTAAAATTTGCCCTGAGGATTCTTGAAGTCATGGAGAAGACAATTACCAGCATGAAAACTTCTGTTTGCTCATTTTAACCTGGAAGATTAGCTGTTCTTATTCTGAACAGTTTCTGTGAATGCTTTAATGGGCAAACTATAAAGCAAAAGTTTAGCCTAGATTAAAAAAAAAAAAAAAAAAAAAAAAACAAAAAAAAAAAAAAAAAAAAAAAAAAAAAAAACAAAACAAAACAAAAAAACAAAAAAAAAAAACCAAAAAAAACCCAAAAAACCCTGAATAATTTTACACCAAAAGAGAATCAGGCAGAAAGCAGTATCTGTGTTCTTGTACACACTTCAGTCGACCATCTAGAAGTGACCGATATTCTCAGCAAGACCTTAAGCTAAATGCTTCCCTTTCCTTCCCTACAATTATAGAACAATTTTTCCTATAAGGGCTTCAAGCATTCACATTTTTGGACAGCAGTGCTWGTCCCTTGGAATGACTGTTTCCATCAAATCACATCAGTCAGCAACACCAGAAACTGTATTACATGAAAACACGATGTAAGCCAAGTGCAAAACATGTTGTGGTATCCTCTGACTGAACAGGGAACTGAGTGCTCTACAGGATTCGAAAGCTGAAGCTCTTTCACAGATTGACTCATGTAATTTACATATGGATGCACTGATTGATCTCGTGTGATCAAGCAATTCCTCTGAAACACATCCAAATAAAAAGCAGTGGAGCGTGCATTATTCTGCCAAGACAAGTGATGCAGTTTTTTTGAACTGAATATGGCTTAAATCAAACCAATATCTTTCTCCTTTGCTATGCTTCAAATTCACAGTAAATAATTCTTAATGGAAATAGTCCCCTCCCCCATCCCCTCCATTCAAAAGTAGTTTTTCTTAAATGGCTAAATACTTCTGGAACATGGGTTTCCCAAATGCATGCAACAGAAAATAAACCCTCTTGCATCACAAAACAACCCAAACAACGGCCCACCTTCTCCCCCCAAAACAAAACAAAAACCAAACCAGAACAAAACAAAAAATAAGTCCTAAACATTCAAACTTGGGACATGCTAGATTTATAAGCAATAGGTCATTGCCTCCTTTAGCATTCATCCTATACACTGCATGAGATTATCATCAGTAAAGGATATCCAAATAATCAGTGCCAGTAATCTAAAGCAKTATCACAAGAAAGGGAGTTAACACTGCATCTGTAAATCCGGCAATTCCTAGCTTTGAATCACAGTCACTTACTTTGCAACTTGATATTCCTTAAACATTCTTTTTGTTTTCTCAGTCTCCCAGGCTGTGTTTCTTTCTTTTGTAACCTGAAGTTTGAGACCAGCACACTCTCTGGGTAACAGTTGTGYCTCCCCAGTTTGGAGCCATGAATAGATTTTGAGGAGCTGTGAGCCCTCCCCACAGCCCCTGACCTGCCACCAGTAGCTGGGAGGAAGCAGCTGCTCAATTTGTAGAGGAAACTCTGCMGGGCCAGACAGATTGCAGGGAGTGATCACAGTGACAGGGCTCCACAGTGCAAATGATATTGCTTTATGGTGAGGGAAAAAATACCATGGTCTTCAGCTTCATTAAGTTTATGATTTCCAGATCCTAACATTAACAAAATTTCAAGAYATTGCATGCCATTCATTACCTGCTCAAGCTTGGCTGTGGTATTCACAGTGACATTTTCAGATGTGCTGTCTTGAGACTGCTGCTTGCATAAGCCTTTAGCTGCATCTTTGAACATGGTGTCTTTCTCCAGCAAACTGTCTTGCTTGGCAATCGGTAAAGCCAGGGGATTGCTGCAGAGAGAATCAATAAAGGCATTAGACCCCCACTGAAGATGTCAGACAATCACATGTGGGTGGCACAAGCACAGAACTGAGATACAGCTCAGGGCTGAAACACAAGCTCCTGGTACACATACTAAAAAGAAATTGGTGAGAAATGAACTGTTCACACAGGCTAGTCTGTTCCAAAAGACACAAAGCAACATACTTTGATTTAAAATTCACCTTTATGCATTTCTTTTCTGAAGGAGAATTGAGCAAGCCTTCTCTCTGAAAGAGAATATGCATGAGTCTGCTTTGGACAGCACAAGGCTGGTAAATCAATAGCCAATTTTGAAGCTGAATTTTAAAAGCGCAGTTAATCCACACAACACTATTTTGAAAAATAGTATATTTTAACATAACTTAATACAGAATTTGCCACTGCAGTTATTAAAATTAAATTCCATCACTTTTTTAGTTTTTTTTAATCAGGCAATATCCAAGATACATTTTATGACCAGTTGCTGCTCTGAATTTGTGCTAAAGTAAAATAAACAAAGAAAGAAACAAGAAAATAGCAGGCTCCTGAAATTACTCCAACATTATGCAATACTGCTCATCCAAAAGTTAAGCCTATTCTTACACACATGAAGTTGTTTCACCTACTGACAGTTCATRTGACACTTCTGCAAAACAACAATGCCAAAATCTTGGATGATTTTGTGCAGTGGTACATCCAAGGAATTAGTGAGGAATCAGCCGCAGGAAATCTCTTGAATTATCTTGAAAAATAATTGTCTGGATTCTGACAGTGCAAATGAGACAATCTCATGGAGAGCACATCATCTCCTTGCCAAAATGTGTACAGACTTTCTTTGAAAGGAAATGTGGACCCAATATGGGAATGTGGGAATAGTGCATTCCACCACGGAATAAAACCCAAACTTACTTAAAATAAATCTTATATTTACTCTAAGTTACTTGAGTGTAATCATTGGTTATAAAAAAGCCACAATTATACTCACAGATAACTCAAATGAATTCTCATAGCTAACACTGATAGCAACTCATGAGAAGAACTGTTGATGGAAACAGAACTAAATACATCTATAATTTTAGAGGCAAAGGACAAAGCATGTTCCAGGAAGARCTTATTGGAAAATGAGACAAAGTAGTTTCCCACTGAAAAAAGATAAACGAGCAAATCTTTCCTTTTGATGAAACTCTCAGGATGCAARTATTGAAATAATTAGTTTAAACATTTTATAATGAACTATAAATGTATTTTGTTGGTTTTTTTTTTGCCTCAAAATGTTTTGCTTCAGACATTTAAATGTAAAACATCTACAGGAAAATGGGTGAAAATAAAAATTTATATTTACTGCTTTGATTCACCACAGATAATTTTGTGATAAATTTACCAAATATCACATGGACAAAAGATCCACCCCCCTTTTTTTCTGGTTTGAACTGCAGAATAGAATTTGGCAATAGGGTAAGACATATCAGTGATTAGACTGTAGAAGAAATTAAACATCTGTGACACTCACAAACAGCAATTACTAATATTAATTCACATTTTACCCAGATTCAGAATCAAACAAAATATAATTAAATATTAAGTTTTCTTTCTGAGTAGCCTTTTGCTRCTGTCCAAAACTGCTCAAATATCTTTAATCACAGGTAAAGAGAATAAAGATACAAAGAGAAGCATAAGCCAAATTAATTCAAGTATTAAATGCCAAAGCACTGCCACTTAGATCTTTCTTAATATTCATRTGATGCTTCTCTTAAATTGTGAAGATCCAGGATTCTTTTTTCTGTGAAGTTGCACCTTACCCATTTAATCTTACCCCTTTTGTGGCAACTACACAAGATGCATTAGAAACACTTCTTAAAATTCAGCTGTAAACTCCTTGAAAGAAATAAACCTTTCAGGTGTCACAAAAGAGAAGTGGGTTGTAAATCACAGCAAAGTGTGGGGGAAAATGGGTGCCTATTGTTTTGACAGATGTATTTGAACTTAAGAGGGCAATAATAACATAATTTAGCAGGCACATTTCATGTATTGATGTACACGAGAATTGCCTATAAATTATGTGCATTTTTGAGATACTAAGAGGACTCCATGTGATGGAAATTATGACATATAACTCAGAACAAAAATGTGAATGCTTCTGTGAAAGAAAAAAAAAATTAAAATTACTCCAACAGTTCATGTTGATTCAGGTTCAAGAAGACACTATGAAAAATAAACTGAAATAAAATGTATCCAGAAAACAGTTTTTTTTAGAAAAGTATTTCTATTAGTCATAAGATTAAGTCAAGCAAYGCCTCTGAAAGCTGAACTATAGGACAGTGCAAGGGAAGATTTTATGTTAATGTAGGCAAGAACATTAGCATGAACTGTCTTCTTTTAGGAAAATTAATGGATAATTAATAGATAATTAACCACAAASGGAGACTTATGCCAAAATAATGTTGCATAGTAGACAGGAAGAAGTGTTATCTAGGGTAATCTTATTTGAACATAGCAGGACTTTCTACCTGCCTGGAAAAAATATTGGATATTATACAGAGGAATGGGGATTTTAAATTTTATGCAAAGAAGCCATCATACATGGTATTAATTTGAAGTATTGTGTATTTTTACTGGATTTTTTTTGTAAATTGAGATAGTTTTCTATGAGTTGCCATCCTCTACCATATCATTAAAAAAATCATATGAAAAACTGAGAGCTGACAATCAAATAATTGAAAGTTCCATAGGTATATGCACTGTAGAAGTGCAGTGGTGATCACTGCAGCCATAGTACGAGCCTAAATCACTTTTAAACAGCTATGGCCAATGTAATGTTCTGAACTGTAAGTGATGTCAATTAATGTGTTCTGCGCTGGTATTTTTGTTGTGGAGTAACAAWTTTTCTTCTGCTTGTACCATTAGGATTAAAACTGGCAAAACCTTACRTTTGCTGCATTGGTCARCCTTCAACTAACTTCATGACATTAYTAAAATTCTGTCCCTCAGCTGATTTACTTGGCCAATTATGACCCAGGAACTTTGCTGGAGCATGTATGGCCTCAAAAATGCTGCAGCCTGTGGAGAGCCTTTGTAAAGCACAAGAAAAGAGCAAGACAAGAGGAATGACGGAGGGAAATTACTGCAACATGCTCGGTGTCACCCTCACCTCACTGATGAGACTGAGTGTGATGAAGGAAACCAGGTTTGCTTGGAAAGAGTATTTCAAATATACTGACTGCTAAAATTTGTTTCCTCTACCTGAGTAGAATCTGACTTTCAATTCACCTCGTCACTGTGTTCTCCAAGAAATCCATGTTGTAATTTAAAACTGAACCAGCAAAATCAGGTTTGCTGACAGAACACATGCTGTTTATAATTATTTATAAATAACSTAAGTTTTGAGTCTGTTTTTGAATATTGTTTTCTTCTGAGAAATGGCCACAAAGCAATATGGCCACAGCACAGAGTTACTAGTAACTACTGTAAAACTTACCACTGGAGATTAAATATGCTTTCTCACATGAGGAGAGCTGATGAAGAATGGATGCAATAAAGAATAAAGCAATGGTACAAGTGGATTATAACTGTGCACACCTCTTCAGCACTAAAGAACTGGTTTGGTGCACAAGAATAGAACAGACATTTATCTTTAACCTAGCACATTACACATCCCTCTGCAGACTCTTTTAACACAGCATGAAGGATAAAACTCTTTGTTTTCAACATTAGCCACTGGGGAAAAAAAAAAAAATCAACTGTTGAAAGCAGTCATCTAGGCTGCCTCTCTAACAGGAAGCATGGAGCCACTCTGGAGGATAATTCACTATATCTTAAGAATATGTCATATCAATATGACATAAGAATATGTCCATTCTGTCATTTGGAATAATAACTGCCTATAAGGGTTTGGGCTTCACAGTTATAAGTATTATAATACTACAGAGCTGAGATAACTAGCTTTGAGATCACACCTGATTTTCAGTCATGATAAATTAAGTTTAGAGGACTTATAAGTAACATGGAACTCTGTRTGCTATGGTTCATCAACAAACTTCCATTTTCAGTACTGATAGATGAGACATGCACTGGCAAAACACACCAACACTTTTGCTTTCCAAGAACTGTCCCATCTCAGGATAGCTGGCTGGCAGCTGACACTCTCCTGAACTGACAGCAAACCTGACTGTCAGTGCAGAGCTCTGGCTGAAGAAGACTCCAAACCTAAAACTGCCAAAAACCTCAAGAACAATGCCCAAATGGCATTATTTGAAGCTTACTGTATCCTAATAATATCCCCCTGGCTATTTGCAAAATTCACTGCCAAGGTCTGTGCCCAGAGCTGAACAGGACTTCAGTTTGCCCCAGTACTGTGTCCTCATGCAGGCACCACAAAGCAGATGCAGTCCCACACTGATATACAGCTATGAATAGAAGCTAAACTCATCGCAATTCCACACATAAATCCATTTTCTTTGTTTTTCCATTCAGTGGGSTTTGCTTTTACAAAACTTCCAATGAAGGTTTTTACACGTGGCAGGTCTGTATTATTGTCACATGAAGGATCACTGTATAAAAAAATTAATATAATCTAAAAAATTAGCTATCTTAACCTATGTATTACARGAAGGAAAGAGTAGAGAAAAAGTATTTTCAGACCACTTCAGCTTTGTGCAAGCCATGTCTTCCACAAGTTAATGGATGTTAGCACTAAAACCAGTACTATTTACCCAGTAAAATATGTGCAGGGCAATACAAACTTCTAGAATATAAAACACATGGAAACGCATCATCTAGATGCAAAAACAATGAYACATTACTCAAAGTCTCAAAAACCTTCATGAATAACTTTTGTTAGGCATTGCTACATAGCTACAAGAGTGACCTATCTTCTACTTCTGGTATTGCAAYGTATCAGTAGTTAAAAATAAAGGTTTTACTTACATTTGAGAATCTAAAGGCTTAGTTTCATGCTTCAAAATTAAAATTTTTCATTTAAAATATGGTTGAAGACCACATAAATTTCAGGAGTATGATTTAAGCTATTGAAACAGCGAGTTAGACTAGAGGACTGTGTATTTCATAAGGAATTAACAAACATGAAAAAATAGAAATTTCATAAACATTATTGTCACATACCCAGCTACATATATTAATGACTACAAATCATGAAGCAGAAACAACACACTGTGTTTACCATCCATGAAATATGCAATCTTTACTAAATATAAATATATCCCGTGGAATTCTGAATTTTTACAGATTGATCATTTCACAACAGTTGCTCACCTCTTCCAAATTCTCATGTATCCAAACACACTCTGGCAAGCATAAATTAAAACTTATGAAATGGAAGCATATATATGTTATCTGTCTCTTTATAAGAGGTTTTATTTATTGCTTTCCTCACACACGCTTCAGTGATTACTACAGAAAATTGTCTTCAGTGAATTGCTCTACAACAACACCAGCACTTACTTACAGTTTATTGGAAATTGTGGGCAAATCATGGAGGATCTCTTCATATGGCTCTTCTTGAGATAAAGTAGAAACAGCTAAAGGRTCTTTCATTTTTTCCTCCCAAACAATTTCAGCCTTCAGAAGCATTTCCTCAATAAAATCAGAAGCTGCAACATCTAAGACATTGGAACACCAAGACATCAGACAARAAAATGGTGCAGAAAAGCTCCTTTRWATTAAAATCTCTAGATCAGATTAAGACTAAATGTGTGGCTAGATAACATGACACGAATTGGTCTGATTTTGATCATAAATTAATAATTGAAATTAGGGGGAAAAAGGCCAAGTAAATTCATTACAGACTTAAGTTGTCATCTGCAAAACCTCAAAACCATTCTTGCTGTGTAGCRAACCAAGCATTCAATAATTCACAGGAYTTCAGGAGAAACAATACAACTCCTTTCAAGACTTTGTTTCTATGAAAATATGTGCTTAAATCCTTTTCAAATGTTTCATATTTCTACAAAATAGATTTAGATGTCTTATATATACAGAAGTGCTGAAATCAACTCTGTTTGCAGACCAGAAAGACAACTCAACTGTGTTAAATACCAACTAAATCTGGTTAGCTAACTGTATTGTTAGATTATATGAGTTTGGTCCACAGCCTTTTTTGTAAGTACAAACTGGCACGTGTCTAAGCACAAACAACTTCTGAGGTTAAGTGCCATGAAGTTCCCTGTGAATGTATTTGCAGGCAGTACAGCACTTGAAGCACAGSATACTTTGGTTTAGTATGCAAACAAAGCTTCACCCATAATCTGACAGAAAGGTTCTCTTATCTACATTATTGGGTTCCATCTTCATTTTATCCCAGACACAGAAAGCTGAACAACCATGTGTTTGTCCTTTTCAACCCTGCTAGCTAGCATTACTGACATTAGCTCTGCTTTTATCTCTGTGTTAGGCCAGWTGAAGTCCCTTCCAGCCTACAGAGTCCACAATTCCATTATCTTTAAAGCCAGTGTTTCAGCTTCCTGTTGTGCCTTCTGTGGTAAACAACAGCAGCTACACTTCAAAACTGGATCTTGAACTTATTTTCAGACAACAGCTACAAAAATTCCAATTCAAGAGACCATGTACTACAATCAGTCGAGACAGAAAGGAACTCAGTGATAAGTAACCAAAATTGTGTCAATGCAGCTACCACCAAGGCACCGGAGAACTCCCAAATAATAAAAATAGCTAAACTTATGGAGGAAATGAAACAAGTGGAAGAACATGCTGTCATTTGATATGCTATCCTGCATTTCCATGAAGTTTTCAGCAAATTATGTAAGAACAGACACATGTGTATGTGTATATAACTCTACACACTGAATGAACTAGGGAAAGCAGGAAGGAAAGAAACAGTGTCACAATAGCCAATACATACATTATGTACATGCATTTTCACCTACCTGAAGGCTTTTCATTATTGCAGTTAAGRAGATTGGGATTTGCCTGGTGCATCAAAAGCAGCTTCACCAGATTGGTCTAMAATGGGCAAAACCAGAGGTGTTTGAAATGGGACAAATAGGACAGGTGCCTGTTATTCAATTTATTCCTTCCTGCACTATCTGAAATCATATGATAAACCCCAGGCAGTACCTCCCAATCCCCACCTTCTGCAGCTACTAAACACAGTCCTATAAATCACAAGCAGCAGAGCAAAATACAGTTCTTGTACGATTTCAGGGCAGCCTCAGAATAATTCCACCCCTAATGTGTCCCTCCACTCACACATGAATAAACAAATTCACAAAGGAACAAACCTACCACTCCATCACCACCTGTTATGACTTAGATAACAAATATTTCTTCGTGCCTAACTRCTCCAACAACTGTGTGCCATCAGAGTCAAAGGGGTCTGACTCACAGCCATCATCACAGCAAATCTGTTCTCTGTCAGTAGTAGAAATTGGCACATTTATATTATTTTTACCAAAATAATCTAAGCTATTAGTAAAGGTAACAATTGCAGCRGAGCAGGGTAGGGTGGATTATCAGATAATGAAAAAGTTTAAAACACATTTTTCAATTCCTGCAAGGAACTGTTTTTAGTGAGCTCCTCCACTGCTGCACTMAAGTCTCKAGAGATTCTTTCCAATCAAAGCCTRWAGCAATGTCTATCCTGATAAATTGGTTGGTCAGAAAGGAGTGAAAGGCTGAATAAGGAGCAAAAAATACTTTTATAATTTGGACATAGAGCTCAACTAAATGAGGGAACTATATGTATTTTTGCATGTACAGTAAAGCAAATATAAATGTAAGCAACAGGAGAGGCCAGGATAAGCACAGARGGAAAAAAACTGTGAAGGAAAGAAAGGATTCTTCCAAGCACAACAGACCTAGAGACAAATGAGACCTGGATTGGAAGTGAGCTAATGGAAAGGATAGAAATTTGGCACAAACCCAACCAAAAAATAAATTAAAAAAAATAAACAGAAGAGAAATCATTGCAATAAAAAATAAATCAATATGGATTCAGCACACAGGAGGCAACTTGCTAGAGAAGACCATGATAATGAAGAATCAATTAAATGAAAAGAAAATCCCAAGCTTCTAATCACAGGAAACCAGGAAAATATTGTTGCAAATTTCTATACAAATAAAAAGATCTTGCTCTCCTCAGATTTCTAATGCTGGCTTTCTTTTCTTGCAGTTACAGCAGAAAATTCAGCAAACTCCAAGAAGTGGGGAAACTGTAACAGGTTTATTTCCAAATCCAATTAGCCCTGCTTTCCACCGAGAACTCTCAACACATATAAAATTATATCCATATATATGGGTTTTTTTGGGGGAAAAAAAGGAACATGCTTAGTTATGGATCTACTGCATAATCTCGGAAAAGTAGTAATAGCTGTATCAAAGGAGGGAGCTTTTAAATGCATTTTCASTTTAGTAACAATACACAGCTTTTTGAGTTACCAAAGGTTTGTATTTATGCCACAAGAAACTCCATGCTCCAATATCAATGTTTCCTGCTGSCAGTGAAATGTCTCCTCCTGGGATTCCTTGATGCAGGTCACCAAGACTAAGGTATTCAGGTCACAGACAATTTCAATAACCTGCTTTTGGATACACAACTCTCTGCTGGAATTAACCTCATTCACTAATGTTTTAGAAGAAGTATTTTAAAATCCAGTTGTCATATCTTCAKGACTGTGCCTAACAGCAGAAATATTTGTAGAATAATTACAGCAAATTACCACTAAGCAAAGCTATTTCAACTGCAGAGTTACAGATGACATACATATCATTATGTCAAGAAATAAC